CAAGACCAACGTGGACAGCTGCAGTCTCAAAACAGCACAAACTATGAACTTGATTTCATACACCTTTACACTGCTACCAGTTTCACAGTACTGTACAGTACTGTAGTATTATAGTTATTTACATAGTGTTGCATTGCAAGTTGCGAGCTCACAAAACAGCAGCTAGCCGTAGCACAGCAGATGCATCTTGGGAGACTTCCTGCAGAAAATAATATTTCTGGTAAAATAATCTGGAAATGTGAAACTGACTGCATTGTAAAAGTTTATAAAAGAGGATTTGCATGAATGACTTTAGGGACTGAAGTTGTTTTAAGACGACAGCAATCCACGTTAGGTCTCAGCCTCGGTCAGACTAATTAACAGCTCGCCAGTTTAGTCAGAAAAACTATTCTCCCAAAACTGAGCCACTTCAAAAAACTGCCTACAACAGAAAATATATTAAATGTTCACAACTAGATGGTTGAGAACAATTAATAGAACTAGAGATAGATCTGACATTTGTGGTGTATGTTTTAGTTTGACATTAAAAGTAAAAAATAAATGATTTTCCTTTATCCAGCTGATGTAGAACCACTTCCACTTTGCTGTGAAAGAATAATAAATACTAAAAATGTTAATCTCGACACTAACTACTGAAACTGGTTTGCCATTAATTACATAACTACGGTTCCAATATGGACCGCCAGAGTCTGCCAATAAACAATTAATATTTGCCACTACAGAAAAGAGTGTCTGTAAAATATAATAATGTCTTCTCTCTCTCTCGCCTTGTTCCAAAAATCGCTCAATCATCAGGAAGCCGTATTTGGTTAAAAACTCATTTAGAGACCGGATTATCCCAATCAGAAATCAGGGGAATCCCATCAAAATAATCTTGATGGTGCATAATTGATGCCAAGGGGACAATAAATCCAATCTGAGAGGGCTTTCGTTCAAACAAACAGCCCGAAACCCACTGACCCAATGACTTTAATCTTAGTTCACCAAGCCTGCATGGGTTTAGGCTACTTTTAGGGGAGGGTACACAGAGGACACATGAGCAAGCCTGTAATCTCCCAGTGAATGGCCCACATAATTTAAAATTCATCTCTAGCAAGCCATATGTTGCAGTTTTTTTAAAGTGGACATGTGAGCAGGGATTATTAACTTCATGTAAAGCTAATTTGTGTGCATAGAAAAACACAGTATTGTGATTCTGTTTCTATTTATTATTATTATTATTATTAATATTATTATTATTACATTGATTTTTGCAACACATAGTGCTGCATACTAAAGCCATTGTAAGTTATAGCTGTAAACCTCATATATTATTAATCATATTAACATATTGTCTTCTACCATTTTTGAACTACCTAAATAATGTCATCTTATTACAACCATTTATTTTTCCAATGCTTCATGACTGTCAGGAGACGATGCAGAGAGCCATGTTTCCCGTGCAACTTCTATGTAGAGACATATTGGTTTCAGATGCTTTTAGATCTATATTTCAGCTGTTCAAATGCTTCTGTCAAGGTATCCTCATCATGCAATGACATCATGCATTTCAATGTACACTCCACTGCACATAGATTTGTCTAGTTACTGTTGGTTTTTAGATTTTGTTTGGGCTTGAATTACTCACAGATGACAAAATCTGACCACAAAAGCAAATGGCAACACTTTAAAAGCTTTAATCCAACACTGAACACAATGTCTGGCCCTAATGGAGAAATAAACATCCTGTTGTGCTGGTTTGACTCAACTTGGTTATAAGAGTTCAGAATCATTGTGTCCATTAAACTTCATGTGACTGAGGAACTGATTAATAACGTCAGTCAACTCATTTTTCCCTCTCTCATCTGTCAGAATGAGGACTTCCTTAAACTATTTTCAACTATTTTTACCAACCCAAGTAACCAAAGCAAATACTGCTGCGTGGGTGGGTGAACTGTTGCAGACAGATGTTCTTGTGCTTGAAGTTTTAGATCAAGCATACAGAAGAGACAAATAAAAGGATCCGATTGCTCATTAGTCTTTTAAAGATATGTCCAGAAAAGGTGAAACTGCTGAATAAATGTGGGACAAATTAAGACTTAAAGGTGAATCACACATGTGATCCCAGAAAGTTATTTTAACACAGCTCTGTGCTTAAGTCCAACACTTTACACAAGCTGGGTAGTTAAAGCAGAATAAACACTGGTTATCTAAACTCCAAAACGTCTCTCTTGTGCTTCACCAGTCCTCGTGCCAAGCATGAAGAGAGAGGAGCAATTCAGGACAGGTAGAAAACAGATCAATGCAGCTGGACTCTGAGTCTCCGTGGAGCTGAAGTTTCCATCAAAACCTTATTTTTAGTTCCCGTATTGTCTGTAAAGGTTAGGTTTGTGTGGGATGAAATGAGCGAGGCAATGGGATCTTGAAGGATACTGTTACTGCAGATCTAAGGCGGGTTATGAAATGGACCACATCAAACAGATGAGCCACACACAAGAGGTCAGCAGCATTTCTGTGAATTCCAGTGAGTTTTGTTTTTTCTTTACAAAACTTCTTTCTTTGACCTAAACCTCAGCAACAAAATGCAGGACTGAAAATTGCTCTATGGCCTTGGTACAGAGGGGCCGCCTACACAAGGATAAAAAGGGTCATGTTTAGTTAATACGTAAAAGTTTTTCTTTCATTGTTTCAGCCTCGTGTCCACATTGAAATTAAAGATTAAAAGTCCAAAGTAAAAAAAAAAAAA